AATTAGGGTGGGTTGAAGTTATTTTCCAAAAATGGGTAGTACGATTAAATCAGCAGGTTTTAATCAGAAGTTATTTTTTATGCAAAATTTGTCAAGCTAGGAAGGGCGAATTGCGATTTGTTTGCAATTGGAGGTATGTAACGAAAACCGCAGTTAATTCGTGTTGATTTTGGCTGAATTGAATTTGACTTTGTATGTTAAAGTTGATATCTTTTTGATTTCGTATGTTTGGGGAAGAATTGTGAAGAAGGAAAATTTTATTTTGCGTTTGTTTTGTTGTTTGAATTACTCTGATATTGTTGTAGTAAAGCATGTTTTTGATTAATTTAGCATAGTTGAATTGATTGTTATGTGATTGTGCTAGGTTCCTAAAATGGCTAATTCTGATACTGTTTCTCTTCGTATATGGCATGGGGGAAAGTTTAAACATGTTAAATATGGTGAGTTAGTTTATTTGGGTGGGGATGGAAAGTCTTTTAATGTCAACCCAGATTTATTGTCGTACTGGGAGTTAGTTGATATGGCTAAAAATTGTGGGGGCTATAGCAATGTTGTTGGTGTGTATTATGTGGTCCCTGGTTGAAAGTTAACAAATGGCTTAAGGAAAGCATTTACTGATGTAGAGGTGTTGGAGATGACAACATTAGCTGTGAAGTTTAGAAGTGTGGATGTTTATGTGACTCATTATGAGGAGGAACCAAGACTTGATCCAACCGAACCACCCAAAGTCATACTATTGGAGCCAAAGACAAATCTTGTTGCCAAAAAATTAACACCAAAGAGGGGGCCCACAAAGTCAACCATGCAAACTAAATCTAGTCCTAGGTGTAAAAAGTACATTGTGGAGTCAAGAGTTGATGACACAAACACAGAAAAAAGATTTAATATCTAGCCCTTCACAAAAAGCACATACATTAGATCTCAGCCAACAAAGAGCCCTTCTCCCACTAAAAAAGATAAGGGAAAAGCAGTTTCTAACCCTAAAAAACCCTCTCAACCCTCTAGTAGTAAACATAACTTACCTCAGAAGCAGAAACCAGTACCTTTTTCTCCTTTTCAATAGAGCACTCCAATTAGTTTAGCTGAAGACTATGATTGGGAGGATCCTAGGCCTGAGAGTCCATTATAATTGCATGAGCTGCTTGGTTATGAATCTGAAAGCACTGATGAGGAAGATCCACTATATGTACTTGAGAGTAATAAGGGTGGTAAGATAGTGAAGTTCTTTGGGAAGGTTTATGATGATGAGGATATTGATGAGGATGTACATTTGGAGGATATGCAGGAAATAGAAGCTGGAGAGTTAGATGATGATGCTATAGTTGGTGATGATGATGAACTGTTAAGTGATGAGTCTAATACATCTGATGAAGAGTACATAATTGCTAGAGATAGAGTTAGGGAGTGTAGTGCAAAATTGAAGGGGATTGTTCAGCAAGTTGTGAAAGATGCTGCTGAATTGAACACTGACCAACAAAGGCAAGAAACATAACCAAGAAATAATGAGGGTCGGTCTGGGTATGCATCTGAGTATAAAGATAGTGGTGATGATATCCACACTCCTCCTGGCAGTGATGATGAAGCTGGTAATAATGATAGAAAGAGAGGGCAGCTTGTAAATCCTGGTAGTGATTTCTCACATTTTAGGTGGCAAGTAGGCCAGAGATTTGCAACAAAAGAGGGGTTTAAAGAAGCTGTTGCTAAGTATGCCATCTTGCAGGGAAGGGATGTTCATGTAGTTGTTAGTAACAGTAATAGGGGTCAACAACTGGGCATAAAGTGTGTAGAGGGGTGTCCTTTCTATTCGTACACTTCCTTTCATTCTAGCGCAGCTACTTTCATTGTCAAAAAGGTTGTAGATCAGTATACCTGTCATAGGAACATGAGGAAAAACAGGCAGCTCAAGTCACCTTGGTTAGCAAAGCAACTTCTGGAGGTTTTTAAGTCCAGGCCTCATTGGCTGCGAAGGAGATCATTTAGACAGTGAGGAGGACTTATAAGGTCATTGTACAAAGACCATTTACTTACAAGGTGAAGTACCATGCTCATAAAATGTTGCATTGCTCCATGAAGGATCATTACAACAAGTTGGGAAGGTATTTAGAGGCTATGAAAGAGTGTAGTCCTAACACTAAGCTTGATTTAGTAACTGTTCAGTGCAAGCCCAATGAACCACTTGAGTTTAGGAGATTATTTACTTGCTTTGAAGGGTTACAGGATGTCTAGAAAGAGGATTGTAGGAGGGTCATTCGTGTTGATGCTTGCTTTATAAAAACATTTTTAGGGGGACAACTTCTCTCAGCTGTTGGAAGAGATGGAAATGAATAAATGTATCCAATAGCTTGCGCAACTGTTGAGGGAGAGAATAATTTATCATGGGAATGGTTCTTCATTAATCTGCAAGAGCCTCTTGAACTAAATGATGGTGAAGGTGTTGCCATTATTTCTGATGAACATCAGGTAAATATGACTTGTAATTTCTGTTCATTTATCAATGCAGTGCTTTCCTTTTGTAATTTCTGTTCATTGTTGGTGTTATAGGCTATTTTGAATGTTGTTTCCAAGGTCCTTCCTAAGGCTGGACATCGACATTGCGCTCGACACATATTTGCACTCTAACATAGAGAGTTCAGAGGTGATGAGATGAAGTTAATGTTCTGGAAAATAGCAAAAGCCTACATACAACATGGCTGCTTTTAATGAGGCATTGGATGAACTAGCTGAGAAAAAATGTTGATGCAACTACAGCCTTCAAAGGGTATAATCCTCCCTTTTTTTGTAGAGCTTATTTAAACAGTTCTATGAGAACAGATGCAATTACAAAAAATATGGCTGAAACCTTTAACGGATATATCATTAATGCTAGAACTAAACACTTGATTCATATGCTTGAAGACATAAATGTGGCACTCATGAAAAGACTTGTTTTGAAAAGACAGGAAATGGAAAAAACTAATTCAGTCATGTGTCCTAGAATTCAGATTAGAGAAAGAAAAGATTAAGGCTGCTAAATGTGATGTTTTGCCTTCAACTGGTATCCTTTTTAATGTGAAATATATTCTAGATCAGGTGGTAGTTAACCTAAATGCTAAAACTTGCACATGTAGAAAGTGGGATATGTTAGGAATCCCTTGCTGTCATGCAATTGCTTGTATTTTTTTCTTGAACCAAGAGGCAAAATCTTATGTGAATGGATGCTATAAGAAAGAGGTTTATTTGAGAGCATATGCTAGCTCAATTCCCCCATGCCTAGGAGAAAGACATTGGCCTAGAATTGAGTGTAAAGTGACCCCCCATTAAAATAGGGTCTGGTAGGCCTAGAAAAAAAAGAATAAAGGATCCTTATAAAGATCCAAAAAAGCCAGGCACTCTAAACAGGGTCGGTATGGAGATGACCTGCTCCATTTTCTCTATCAAAGGCCATAATAAAAGAAGATGCCCTAATAGAGATTCTGCTATTCCAAAGGAACCTCCACCAAAGAGAGCAAGGGGAAGGCCAAGGCTTGAAGTCTCTGCACTTGCCTAACATCAGTCTCAGGACCTCACAACATCTGCAAGTCCTTTTACAGTCAGTTCTGCCCCTGTTGTACACCATACAACAACTGTACAACCATCTTAACTAGGAAGGAGGGGCAGAATGATATTAGGGGGAAGGGGATTAAGAGGTAGGTGGGCTACAACAGGGAGGGGAGGTACTGCAGCAACTAGCAGAGGATCTTGTGATGATGGTAGTAGGGGTAGGGGAAGAAATATAATAGGTAGGGGGAGGGGAAGGGGAAGGAACCAAGTGCCAGTTGGGGTTGGGGTTATATTTGGGAGTGATGGATCAACTCTAACTACTGTAAGTCTTTTCATACTTATTGTCATGAAGCTTTAATGATTGTTTTCAATGTCACTAAGTTGCTTCTTAATGTGTTGTAGGTTGCTGGGAGAGGCAAGAGGCAAAAGGTGTTGAATTTGAGCCAACTCACTCAGTCAAGTCAGACCTCGACACTTCATCAACCAACTCAGTGAAGGGATTAGAAGTTATGCACAAGTTTGTAATAGCCTTAAAATTTGACATTATTATAAGTACCTTCTGGTGATTGAACAATGTTGGTTTTTGTTATACTCAATTGCTTTTGTGATAAAAGCACAAGTCTTTTGTTTACACCAACTATAATCTGTTTTTATGGGGTAGTGTTTATTTTGCAAACTCTTAAATTCAGTGCCTCGTAATGTAAATAATTAGTATTTGGAATTGCAAAGTTATTGTTATCATCAAATCTGCAAATGCAATATCATTGATCAAACTTCATTCATTAATAATTAGCAGTACAACAGGGTTCACTTCACTTAACAAACAACAGGTACATCATACACCAGATTTGTTAAACTCCTACTTAAGGAAAAAAACCAAAAAACCAAAAAACCAAAACAGATCCAAGAAAGCACTAGTGCCATTGAGAAGTTCTTCTCATTCCTAGAGCACTTCATAAGTTCAATACGCATTTGACCCATTTCATTCTTCATGTCTTGCACTTCTTCCTCCAAATTCTCCTTCTTTAATTACAGTTTCTCAATCTTTTCCTCCAACTATTTCTTCTCATACTCCATCTAAGCCAGGTTTGTGTCCCTCTCAAGGATTTGAAATCGAAGATTTGCATCCTCATTAGTGGGTGAAATCCACACAAATGTGTCGCACTTAGTGTCTTGTACAATTCAAACCCTAAATTTAGTTTGTTTCACCAACAAATCCACAAATTATTCACAAATTATAGGTAATTGTTCAAAAATAAACTTACAAGCCATAAGGGACATCCATAGAACTTGCTTCCCATATTTGGACCATTCTTCACTGCCTGACCACCGCATTTCTCCCACAACAACATTTCAATGGAGTATGCCCCCTCTTGAAGTAGATGACGAACCAGAACCAATTAATTGTTGTTAATTTCACCTTCGTGAATTTATTAACAGAGATAATTGAGAGGTTTTTTTTTTCTTTTTTTTTTTTTTCGAAAATTAAATAGAGAGGACAGGGGAGGGGAGAATTTATAAAAACAAAGTAATTTGGGGATGAAAAGTCAATTTGACCCAATAGTTATTGCCACTTCAGTTTGAAATCGGGTACTGTAGGTCACATTAAAAAATTACTCATTAAAAGTTAAATGGTATTAAAGGTCAACTTACTTTGACTTAATCAAAAGGTTTGCTTATTTTGGGAAGACCGGCAAAATTTTACTTATTTTTGACAAATTCTTTTTTTTTTTCTTTTTCTTTTTAATTTTTAATTTTTTTTTATTTCAGTAAAAATCTTCTCTCAAATTTTTCTTTCACAACCAAATTTGAAGGGTTTAGAATCTCATAATCTGTTTTGATTGATCAAATCTATAGTTATTATTGCTATTTTAAATCAATTATCAATTGTAATTTTATTTAAATCCTAAATTCCTGATTTTGATCTTATGATTCAATTCACTGGGAAATGATCGATATTTTCTGGGTAATTTCATTTCAATTCTTTGTTAAGTAGGATGAGTGGTCGCTCAATTGGAGGAGGTAGTACTCCAAAGAAATTTGATGCTTACCCTAGAGTCGAAATTGATATTGAATCATTAGGTTTTAGAAACCCTAGAAGAGCTAGAAATTCCAAATCCAATTTGATCAGAATGATTAAATCAGTTGCAAATCGTGTCAAGTATTATTACAAATTACATCCTGTATTAGCCTTTTTACTAATTTTGTCATTTGGATTGGCAATTATAACCATACTTATATTTTATGAAAATCGTGTTCGATTAGTGTATAATTATAGGCAATTCGATGCGAAACCGGGTTTTTATCCGCTTCCGAAGCTTACAAATCTTGTGATGGTAGCTGGGCATTCAGTTTATACTAGTAGTAATTGTGGGAAAGTTGATAATGAGAAGTCTTGGTTTTTGGAATCTTATCAAATGCATCCTGGTCAAGCTGCCACATTTTTGGAACATATTAAGGAGGGTGTTGAAGTTGCTGCTAAGGATGATCAGGCTTTGTTGTTGTTTAGTGGGGGCGAGACTCGAAAGGATGCCGGTCCTCGTAGTGAAGCCCAGAGTTACTGGCTTGTTGCTGAATCGAAAGGGTGGTTTGGTGAGTTCATCTTTATTGCTTGTCTATGCCTTTTGCCAGTTCCTAATCTATTTGAAAGAATATGTGTACATATGATTAATGCTATGCTTTAACTGAATTTAAATGTTGTCTTTTTTTTTTTTTTTTTTTTTTTTTTTTTTTTTCATTGCTCAATTCTGTTGTATGCACCGTTATTTGTATCTGAATATTAATCACCCTGACAATGGTACAATGTGTTTGCAGAAATTCTGTTGTATGCACCACTGTCGGTATCTGAGCATGTTTTATATTGCTCGTATTATTAGGAGTTCCTTCGGCCTTTGACGAATTACTGAATATTTTGTTGTAGTCACTGGCTGAATAGGAAACTGAGAAATTCTGTGAAGCAAAGTCCTGAGTTTTGAGTAATATTATGAGAAGTTCCATAGGAAATTGAGGATTTCCTTGAAGCAAAGTCCTAAAGTTTGAGTAATATTATAAGCATTCCATAGGATTTGAGGAATTCCTTTAAGCAAAGTCCTAAGTTTTGATTAATATTGCTGAGATGGCCATTGTGTAATTAGAATACTAGTCTCCTTGCTAATGCAAATGGAAGTGTGTGTAAAAAGTTGAGCTTGTTTGAGCAAGAGCAAGTTTGAAAATGAGTAAGGTGTTAAAAATGATGATTCTCCAAAAGTATATTATTGAAAGTAGAAGCAATGTAATTCTCCGAGTATGCGTAGTATTAGTGTACTATAATCATACCACCATATCTATCAAGCTATTATAGTATGATCCTTAAAGTTGTCCATTTGAGGCAACAACATATTTATCCGAGGAAAATGGTTCACAAGATCTAGGCATGAAACTCACTCATGAGCAACCTGTTGTTTTGCTGACCCGTCCAGCAGGGAAACAAGTAGATAATATTGTCCATGCTTGGTTCATATAATTAAATTTTAGTGAATTATCTGGAGCCTTGGGAGATGCTGTCTAGCTTAATCTACTAGAGATTCCAATACCATTTGAAATCTTCGAATAATTGGGGTATGTTTTCTTCTATTTTAATAAAGCTGGCTAGTAAGGGACTAAGGGGATTTCACTAAGAAAATTCTTTGATACTCTCATGATAGGATGCTAAATTTTGTTTGGAGATATTATTCTGTAGGTGAGATTGCTTAGTAAGTTGGTTTCCCTTTATAAATTTCTAGTTTTAGGCTATGTTAGTTCACATGATCTGAAGTTTTACTAGATCTGATTTCCAGATTGACATTATTTGTACACTAATGCTTAAGATAGAAAATTATCAAATGAGATGTCATTGGATTCGTATTATTGTGTATTTTCCAAAAATTAAATTTTCATATTTTTAATTCAAAATTAAAGATATGTAACGATGTGTAAACGCAAATAAAAAGATTCTCGATCTTTTGTTTCTAATTTAAAATTTTTTAGTTCTGTAATTAACTATATTTTGCTTAAAATTAAAGTATTATTGTTGCATTTTTTTTTTTTTTTTTTTGTTTTGCTGAACTTTTGCTTAAATTAACCTCTTTTGTGCCGAATTTAACTTATATCTGCTGAATATAAATTATTTTTGGAACAATTTTAGTAATTTGAAGAGTAGAACATAGTCTTATTTTTGCGAAAACGTAATAAGCTGGATATACATATTCTTTGGCTTTATTTAAGGAAATTCTCTTTGGTAACATTGTAGTTTTTCTTTTTCTCTTTGATAAATTGTATAAATTCTTATTATCATAAATAACATTATATTATTATTTTAAGTTGGTTATAACATTAATGATCATTTTTTATTAAATTCTTAACTATAGTTAGAGTTTTTTAATAATAAAATAATTTTAAAAAATTCAACCCCCTCCCCCACCCAGCCACCCAGCCACCATCTGAGCCCCTCCCTTGGCCAGCGGTGCCTAGCCCTCTCTCCCCTGCCGGTGATCAGCAACACCACCCTCAACTCATCGACTCATCCTCCTCCCCTCGCTACCTCCCCCACTTTCCTTCTCCTCCGCCGTATTCTAGAAGACAACCATTGAGATGGGTTTTGATCTCTAACTCGGGTAATCCCTCCTAATCATTATCATCATCATAATCATCATAATATTGATGATGTGATGTTGATGCTGATCATCAGCTTCGATTTCGGGTATCTCAACTCCCGCTGTCGTCACCGCTTCCGCCGATGTCGGGTTCTAGGTTTTTGCCGATTTCTCCTGTTGTTCATCATTCTCCTACTTAACTTGTTCAGTTTGATAGGGTTAGGTGTGAGATTGATGGGGTTGAGTATCAATTGAGGCGGGATCGGGGTGATGAGTGTAGGCTTTTGGGGGGTTTTTTGATAGATTGGAAGGGGATTTTGGTTGTGATCGTGATTTTAAGCATCATTAAAAGTATTATCCTAAGATCCAGTAAGGAAGGAGATTATGGTGCAGCGTGTTGGGTTGCACGCCTTTGGAATGGTGGTGTGGGAAGGGAGGGGTGGTCGTCGGCAGGGGAGGGAGATCTAGGAGGGTCACCGGCGAGGTGGCGGCGGGGAGCTGGCCGCCGCCGGCCTGGAGATTTTTATTAAAAAAATAAAAATTAACCTTGGTTAAAGATATTTATTAAAAATAGTTATCTTTGGTAACAAAAATTACAATGTTATCATAATAATAAGAATTTTTACAATTTACCAAAGAAAATAATGTAAAGTTGGGTGTTATCAAAGAGAATTTCCCTTTATCTAACTCCCCAAAAAGAACTTAATCGCACTATAGGTTTTGTTTATTTTTCTTTTTGTAGAGTTGATCATATTGTAGTGATTATAACCAATCAAAACTTATTTTTCTGATTGAAGCTGTTTTTTTACCGGAAGACATTGGAGAAGAATACGTTAAGTATGTGTGACTTTGTTTTTGCTATATAGTAAATATTTAAGAGTCTTATTTCTAGATAAACTTGTAAATACAGTGGGTTTACAGTAAATAATTTACATCAAATGTAAAGTTACCTTAAAATACTTCAAAGTTATCTAGATCCCAATATACTAGTAAAAAAAAGTTACATATTTTTTTATAGATGAAGTTACTCATTTACAAGAAACCTACCTTGTAAATATCACTCCTTCATATCACCCTTTATAAATTATATAACATATCCATTAAAATACTTCTTACCCCAAAGCAGGTTAAAAGTGATAACTTCTTAATTTTATGCCCCCAAAGTAGGTGTTGATAAAAAGTTACCATAAAGTTAGTTGATGTACAATAGAAGTATTGTACACCCGGTGTACCTAAACTTTTTTTGTTTAATTTCATTTCTTTCCAAATGATAAACCTTCTTGGAGAAAAAGGTCCACTTAAGCTAATATCAGAAAGTGGTCATCGTATGTGTTGTGTAGATGATTATGGAATATGTTATGCATACATGAAAGCTGGGTAAAACATATGGTCTCACATCATGATTATTTTTGTGGACAATAATGTGAAAATTTTGAACCTCTTTGACTACAATCCACTACATGGCCTATAATTATGAAAGACCAGTTAGAAGAGTGTGTTTTTTTTTATTTTTATTTTATTTTTTTTATTTTTAGTATGTGTAGAATAAGTGTTATTGGTTATGAGATTAATTTGTGGGGGAAGCAGTAATTTAAGAGGAGAGAAAATGATGGCAGATGGTAGGATGGAAGCAAATGTTTCGTTGTTTTCTCTAGTCATAGAATCTAAGCCATTCTTTTAGAGCATGTAAGACCTTATAAATTGTTTAGGTTGTAATGTAGTTATTATTAATTCGAATCAATTAAAATTCACATCATAAGTTTTTGTTTAAGAAAAATCTTATTTTCTTACAATTATAATTTTCTTCATAGTGGTTGTTTGTTTATCCCAAAATATTATTTAATTTTGTGAGGTATCCATTTCATATTATCTAGTAGAAGCCACATTTCCGCTGCGAGAGCTCTAACAATTGGTACAAGAGCCAACGTCAAAATCTTAAGTGGTTAAATTTTTTATTTTGAAAATAATTACAATGGGATGTAATAGTGGAACGGTAAAAGTGGGAAATATGAGATTGAAAAATTCAATGGGAAAAATGATTTTTCCTATTGGAGGATGCAGATGAAAAATCTATTAATTTTACAAAAGTTACACGAGGCATTGGCGGGAAGAGAACATAAACCCGAGGACATGAAGGATGACGATTGGGTAGAACTAGATCTTGAAGCACGAGCGGCCATAATCTTGTGCTTGAGAGGGATGTTGCTTTCTTGGTAAATGAAGAAGCAACGGCCACTGGCGTGTAGTCAACGTTAGATTCAAATTTTATGACGAAAACTCTAACAAAACTATCTATATAAATTTCAACTTGTATACATGCAAGATGGAAGAAGGCACCTCAATCCGAAGGATATGGATGTGAAGGTAGATGAGGAAGACTAAGCACTCATCCTATTGCTTTCATTACCGAAGTCCTATGAAAATCTGGTTCAAACATTGATGCTTCTGGGTGATACTCTAACCATGGATGAGACTAGAACATCGCTTTTAGTGGATGACCTTCGAAAGGTATCTACAAGTGGAATGATGTCTAGTAATGGGAGAGAATACAACGAACAAGCTCAGAGGAAGGAGCAATGAAAGAGGAAGAGGCAAGGGACGAAAGTCTAGATCAAAATCTAGACCTCTTGCGGAAAGACCATGTTTCAAATATGGTGAGCTTGGTCATTTTAAAGCTAATTGCCCAAATAAGAGGGTAATATTCAAGAAGAAGAACAACAACAACTCTAAGAGGAAAACAAGAAAAACAAGAGGTGAGTTATGTCTTAAATGAAGAGGAAGATTATTGTTACTCAATTTCAGAACCATGCAATAAGATATCCGGTAAATGGATGCTTTTCAAGAGCATCACACCATATGTGCCCAAACAGGAAGTGGTTTACACCAGAGTTTCGATGGTGGTACTGTTTTGATGGGAAACGATCATGCTTGTAAGACTATCGGGTTAGGTACTATCCGAGTCAAGATGCATGATGGAACAAT